AATGTATAATTGGTTTTTTTTTTTCACATTAAATTAGGTGGTGAGTTAAATAAATTAAAAAAAAAAATAAACAAAACCAGGATTAAAAAGTGATTGAAATTTGCTATTGTAAAATAAATTTTTTAAAAGTAGATAGGGTAGAAGTCAAAGAAAAACACATCAGAGCAAGAAAGAATTAAATTTGGAATAGTTATTATTTTAAAAAGCTTTTCTAGTTTAAAAAAAAAAATAACATCTCGACAATTGTAAAAAAGAAGCTTGTATTTATTTATTAGACAAGATCAACCAAAAATTGATAATAAAAGAGTCAAGCATGTTCATCGTATTGAGTCTAATGTACCAGGTGAATATGAACACATTATTACAAGTGATCGACTATTAGCAAAATTCAAGGTTAGTGGATGTTGTTTATCTGCCTACTCAATTGAAGGTTAATGGTTAATTACTTACCTACTACCTTATTCTTCTGTAGGATCCAGGGTAATTTTGTTAGGGATGATGTCATTAGTGGTGATGAATTTTGATTACGTCCTACTCCTCAACAGCATCATCATCAATCGACTCATTGTGTACTCAACAAAATCATATACAACTTGCGTCACGGAATTTAAGAGTCATGCAAATTTTTGTTGCTAAGGTAATTATGATTGAGGTTAAGGTTTTACAATGAGATTTTGAAAACTTTAAAACATGTAGATCTTGAAAAATTCCTAAGCATCCATCAAATAATTAATTCGTATAGTAGATGACAAAGATGATATTGAAGCAGAAATATCACCATTCGAGGAAGCAAGATTTGAGACGGGTGGTAATGGACGACCTCTTAATAATGTTGATACTCCAAAACTTGATATTGTAAACTTCACGAAAGCATTCTAAACCATGAAAAATGAAAATGAATGGCGTCAATCGGTCGAAGAAGATTCTCTCTAAGAATTTGGAAAGAATTATGACTAAGGGCAGTGAATTGATACTGATATTCTTTGTTTTGATTGTTTATAATATTCTATTCATCATTGTGATCTTCTTTCCTATTCCATTGTTATAAGCTTATCTCATAGTTTTATCTTGGATTTAGATGACTTTTCATATGTAAACGAAGGAGTTTTTACTGATGACGAGTTGGAAGACATAAGATTCGCCATTTGCCAGATCTTCCCGAAAAATTGTTAAATCATATGATGACTTCGTAAAGGTAAATACAAATTTGTTAATTAAAAAAAATATTGCACATGTGTATCTCAGTATTAATACGTATTGTTTATGAACAAGTTAATATTCAAGAACAATTGTCATTAGACCTTGACAATATAATCTAATATTAATTTAGTAAACTTACTTTAGAATAGACCAAAAAATTAATTCAATAAACCTCAGAGATTAGTTGCAATTAATCGAGAAGCCATATTTATGTAATGTTATAAGTGATGCTTCTTATAGTGTAGCAAATACATTTTCTTGTGGGGCTAGCCTTAGATAATCGTGTAGTTTTCCACCAAAATTCATCCGTCAATTTAAATTCCGTGAGAATATTCGACATCCGCCAAAATTTAAATATCCGAAATGACAACGAATCAATGTCCTTAGTACACTATGGCCTCGATAAGTCATAACAGATACATTTTGTGGATGTTCAAAATATATCTCGTCTGGATATCTCATATGCCTAAATATTTTAATTTTGGTGGATGTCGAATATTCTCACGGGAATTCAAATTGGCGGATGAATTTTGGCGGAAAACTACACGATTATCTGAAAAATGAAAATGAATGGCGTCAATCGGTCGAAGAAGATTCTCTCTAAGAATTTGGAAAGAATTATGACTAAGGGCAGTGAATTGATACTGATATTCTTTGTTTTGATTGTTTATAATATTCTATTCATCATTGTGATCTTCTTTCCTATTCCATTGTTATAAGCTTATCTCATAGTTTTATCTTGGATTTAGATGACTTTTCATATGTAAACGAAGGAGTTTTTACTGATGACGAGTTGGAAGACATAAGATTCGCCATTTGCCAGATCTTCCCGAAAAATTGTTAAATCATATGATGACTTCGTAAAGGTAAATACAAATTTGTTAATTAAAAAAAATATTGCACATGTGTATCTCAGTATTAATACGTATTGTTTATGAACAAGTTAATATTCAAGAACAATTGTCATTAGACCTTGACAATATAATCTAATATTAATTTAGTAAACTTACTTTAGAATAGACCAAAAAATTAATTCAATAAACCTCAGAGATTAGTTGCAATTAATCGAGAAGCCATATTTATGTAATGTTATAAGTGATGCTTCTTATAGTGTAGCAAATACATTTTCTTGTGGGGCTAGCCTTAGATAATCGTGTAGTTTTCCACCAAAATTCATCCGTCAATTTAAATTCCGTGAGAATATTCGACATCCGCCAAAATTTAAATATCCGAAATGACAACGAATCAATGTCCTTAGTACACTATGGCCTCGATAAGTCATAACAGATACATTTTGTGGATGTTCAAAATATATCTCGTCTGGATATCTCATATGCCTAAATATTTTAATTTTGGTGGATGTCGAATATTCTCACGGGAATTCAAATTGGCGGATGAATTTTGGCGGAAAACTACACGATTATGATAATAATAATAATAATATATAAGAAAACATATAAAAAGTTGTGTAACAAAATTCGGAATTTTCAAAATGCTAAGGCTCATTAGTCGTGTGACATTTCCCTGTGACTTGCTTTTCTATATGTGAAAATAAATAGTTTTTTAAAATATCTCGTTATTTTTATAATAAACTCGAAATTCGTTGTTAGACTAAAATGAAAATACTCCATTAAAGCTTTCTAATGAATACTCTTTCATATCGAAAGATGTCCTCTACATGAATTCACGGCTATTCAAAAATGGTATTACTTTTTCACTTCAAACCTCAGATTATTTCTCAATATTGCTTTAAAAGACTTGATAGTAAATGAGAAGGTGTAGAATACTTTAAGCTTTCATATATGGTCATTGCTTTATGGGGGATATTGGTTAATAAGTTTTAGAGAGGTTCACGAAAAACTATTTTATAGAAATTTTTAATAGTCATTTTATGTAGATGGGAAAAAAATAATGTAATTGCTTGATAAAATGTCAAAATTAAATTATTTTTTGTGTTAATAAATCCTGTATGTATACCATTGCATTGTGCAATGTCTACTATGCATTATGCAACATTGATTTTCAATGCCGTTTATTTGCACAGGGTCTGTTGATTATCACTTTTTTTAAAAAACAGGAACATTCAATGCTATTTTATGCCTCTAATAATTTCCTGATGTAATAGCCTTAGTTCTTTGTTCTATTGTAAGTTGTTTTTTTGGCATAAGTAATAAAATAAGCTTAATTTAAGAAATTAATATCTAGAGATAAAAACTTGCTATATGAAATTTTTATATTATTTAGTAAACAATAAAGTTAAAAAGGCCAAAATAATAATATTCATCAGAATGCATAAAAATTACATAGCAAATTAATAATATCTTACTATATATAATTAATTTTACATTAATAATAAACAATCAACTACTGTGTTTGTTAAGAGAAATTTTTGCTTGTTTTTTAATTCGATTATCTTTTGTTTCAGTTGCCTGAGGTGCTTCTTCTTCTCTAGGCCGTTTGGTATGAACAGTAGTTGATGTTTCCAAAAGATCTTGACTCCTTTGTAATTTTGGTAGAGGTTTGGACACTTCTTTGGGTTTAGAAATTTTTGTATGAACTTCAGGGTTGCTTTGTGTCTCTGTTGGTTTAGTAGTAATTGTTGGTGCTTCCACAATAGGATTCAGAGTTTCAATAGGATTACATGTAGTCTCAGGTTTGATGTTGTGTTGTTGAAATAAATTCAATTGTTTTAAAGTGACCTCCTCAACCTTTTTCAATTCATTTTTTAGTTTTTCATTTTCAACAGTCTGCATTAATAACTCTGTCTTCAATCTATCAATCTGCATCATAAAGAAAGAAATTTGTAAAAAAAACTCAACCAATCAATATGAATATTTTTAATACTACTCACTTCTGCATCCTTAGCTTGGAGCACTTCTTTACTTAAATTATCAATTTGTTTTTTTTCTCTTTTGATATTTTCCAAATCTTCTTTAGTTTGTTTATATTTTTCCTGAAGTATATGGAGTTTTTCTTTCCATTGATTTAGTTCCTTGTCATAATCAGATTTGAGGGTTCTTTTATTTTCTTCAAGTATCCTAACTTGAAATTTCAACTGTTCTAAATCAATTGATTCTTTTTGCTTAATTGATCCAACTATTTCTGAATTGACTGATGATGACCTAGATCTAATGATGTTAGCTGTTTAAAAATCCTTAGCCGGCTAAGCCGTTTACTACCTAAATTGGTAATTTTATTTCTATAACAAGAAAGTAACGCAGAAATCTATTACCAAATTTAGAAATTATGCATGCAGATTATTAGCCGGCTAACTTCACTACCTAGATGCACATGATATATTTCTAGAACTCCTAAAAACATGAACACATTTTTAATTAATTTAAAAATTGTAAAATTATAATCAATCAATTGATCAATTAGCCAATAAATATAATATTTAGTAATACCAATCTGATTTTGGTTCATGTCTTAAAATTTTTTTCTTCTGGACCTTGTTTATTTTAACTGGTCCAAGTTTCTAGAATTATCATTGAATTTATTTTTGATTGATCACCTATTTTATCAACATCATTCCTAAAAACAATAATATGAACACACTTTTAATTAATTTAAAAATTGTAAAATTATAATCAATCAATTGATCAATTAGCCAATAAATATAATATTTAGTAATACCAGCCAGGTATTGATTCTGCTTCCTGTAACAGAATGGGGTTTGTGAATATGATTCTGCATGGTGATGACATCAAACTTATTGAAATTAGGGGAAAAAATGTAATTTAATCACCTGCAAATAAATAAATACATGCATGCATATATTAAATATTATTAAATATTTTGAACCTTTGTAGCTAGTAACATGAATGTATTTCATAGCAGCTACTGACCCAATGGCGAGTTCTGAATTGTCAACATACTTCCCCCATAATGTTATCTTAATTTCATTATCAATTTGTAAGATGCAAAATGAAATGTTATGTGTTTCAGGGTGTCCCAAACCCTCAAGCAAAACACTCACTCTTATCGACTATGATGATAATTTGTCTATGAACCTACAAATGATTTAAAAAAAGAATATGAATTTTCATAGATTAATAAAAAAAACTCTTAATGAAATATGTATAAGAAAGATAAATACCCATTTTTTGGTCCTTTGTATAAAAACATCATGTGCAATATTTATAGTTTTAGTTATTCCAATTACATCTATTAAAATAAAACAAAATATTAATAAACAATCAAAAATCCAAATATATATTATTTTAAATTATAAGATCATGATTACCAATATATGTGTCTACTGTAAAGTTACTTGTTTTGTTGAAAAATGGAAAATTTTTGAATTTTAAGAGACTCACTAAATTACCACCAATTGAATTATCATCACCACTATACATGAAGTCGAAATGTTTTGACTTGAGGATACTACATAGTAAAAATCAGTTTAGACCTTATTTCGACTTCATGTATAATCACCACACTAAAAAAAATAGAAAAAAATTTTTTTTTTAAATTAAGGGAGTGTTTAACAATCCAAAATTTTTATGTTTACATACTTCTCTAATCTTGGTTTCATTCTTAAAATACATTTCATGATTTTGAATTTGGTGAGATTGATTCTTGCTCAAAGCTACATTTAAGTTTGAAAAGTAAAATGTCTATTTGAAATTAAATAGTTAATAATTGATGTGTATTAATAGAAGATGCAATGGAATTATTTCGGAGTGGAAACTTGGTTTTTGGTAATAAAAGAGTATCTTTAATTTTTTTTGGGTTCATTAAAATTATTTTTAGATTAAACGGATATATTCAATTTGAAAATTCATACCACATCTTCATCAACCTGACCATAAAATTATAGAATGCAAGGTCGAACTTAAAAGAGTTAATTTTGTATTATTTAAAACAAGAAGATAACATCTGAACACTAAAATGGCTGAGCTGCTAAATAGAGTTGGTCAAAAAACCTCTTCAAGCTTGGTTCTATTTCATGTAGCAATCAATCTTTTCACTTTTCCTCTTCCTCTTCCCCTTCCACATCTGTGGTTTTTACTCTCCTAGGTTCTCTTTTTAAAAGATTTTCTACAAGATTCATATAACAAATTTTACATAAAACAACACATTACTTTCACTAAGTTGTTGTTCTTGGCTTCTTTCCATTTATTGCCTTTCATTGATGAAATTTAGCTGATTCAGTGGTTTTACATTCCGTGCAATGTTTAATTTCAGGCAATTTTTCTTTGAGTAAATCGTATTATGAAAGTTGTGGGATTCAAAGGGATTCAAAAGATATGATAACAACAAAGTGTAAAGCTTCAAGTTTGTGTAATTATTCACACATGATTTATTGCAAGAATGGGCTACATGATACCCTTGCAAAATTATTTTAAACTGTATAAAAAAAATTGAAATCAATTGTGAAAATCCCTTCCTTATATAGGACGGTCTCTCCTGTTGTTTGCTACATATATGAATTGATCGACGAATGAGGCTGAAATCGATTTCCAAATTTGGTAAAATCCCTGACCGTATTACATTAAAAGAAAATCATTACCAAATTTGGTCGTGAGATTCAAAATATTGTATACTTTCAAATTTAAAAAATCTATGGAAAGAAAATTCAAGACAAATTTTTTTTTAGATTAATAGACTCCCTTTTAAAACCAAATTGAATGGTGGTGGGTTTTAAAATCCAATGTGTGGATCACATAATATTTTGAAAATTTTAACTTTGAGTATAGATGATCTGCACTGTAACAAAAAGAACTGCTGAGAAAACATTACCAGAAATCACCCCAGTGGATTAATAGACAAAGAGCTATTAATAACACAAACAAGGAAAGCAATTGTAATTGAGATTAAAATATCAAGGAGCATTTGATCATAACTGTATAGATAAAAGAAAAATATATTATAAATAAAATATTGAGATTTACTATGAGAAGCAGACAATATTAATATAGGGTATGCAGGTTATGTATGTAAAATCATAATCTTTTGATTTTGTGTAAAAGAGCAAATGAATTCAATTATTTTAATAATGGTGTTGATATAACATTAAAAAAAAAATAAACAAAGAAATAATAAAAAATAGTTAATTGCTAATAAAAAAAAATTCAATATCAATAAAATAATAAAATATTTAATTTTTTTTTAAATGAATTTTAAATAAATATTTAATATTCAATTCATTAATCTGTTAACGACTGATAAAATCTCTTTACTTTTTCATGAACCATTATCTTTTCTCTTGTGAAGTTTAAAACATGTAAAGATTCCAATGATTTAGCTCGAGACAAAGCAACGTATGCTTGCCCTATTTACAAAAAAAAGCCCCCATTTATTTATTTATAATAATAATAATTATATTATCATTATTATGAATATATATATATATAAATACCTTTCTCAAAAACTTTTGCTAAATCAATTTTTACTCTTTCCAGTGTTTGACCCTGGCTTTTATGAATACTAATTGCCTAAGCAAGTATAAGAGGAATCTAATATTACATTAAATATATAATAAATACATACATATACATATTACAAAAAAAAACTATACACATACATATAAATACAAAAATACCTACTTGTTGTCTACTTGCTAATACAACATTACCAACAGTTTCTAGTCTCCACTCAGCTTCAAAAACAATCCATTCTTTATTTTCAGTAAATCTAACTATTGGCAATATTTCATCTTCCTCATCAAACTCCACAGTCTCATCTTCTCCATTATAATATTTTTTCTAGTAGCTTTTGAATAAAAACCAATAATAATACCTCTACTCCCATTAACTAAATCCCTATTGAGGTTTTTAATGAGCATTACTTGTGCACCATATTTTAATTCCAATTTATATGGTGCCAAGCAACCTTTAATAAGTGTATTTAATTGACCATTTTCTTCTGGTTCATAATCTTTTGGATAATATATATGTGGTTTATTTTGAATTTTACTTAAAAACACAAGATTTGCACTAGTAACTTCATCATTTTTTGAGTATCTTGTAATTTAACAAACAAACAAACATTATTATATAAGTATATTATACAGTGTGTAACAAAAAAAACCGGAAATCTTTTATTTATTTGTTTTCAATAATGGTTGAATGAAAATAGATAAAAATACATCGAAAAGAA